TTGTGTATTATAACATCATTTTTAGTTGTGTGAGCTGGTTGCATTGGCCAGCATATGACCTTTATTAGTGTGAGACTCCCAATGCAGGATATCAACTTGCTCAAGCAGATGCTGGGCCAATAAATTATAATTCAACCAGGCTGTTTCATGTGAATGCAATCTCATGCAAACATATATAAAATTAATATACGAGTCAGTATCTTACCATGGGCAGGTGTATATTAAGCCCATATAAATGGGCAAGACCAGCTTGCCTGGTGTGATATTATACTACTGCATGACAATACCTGCTTGATTCTACAAGATAATGGCCTAAAATGTTGCAATTGTAGTTTCAGGATCTGCTAAGGGTCTGGATATATGATCTGGGCTAGGCAGCATGGGACCCTAAAGGCAAGTTCATGTTGCCTGGTTGTGGGATAGAATGTTTACTGCATGTGAATGGTGAATTTCTTGGCTTGCATAGTTGGGATTCTGGCAGTGGATACCTCGTCCTTAGCCAGAACACAGTTAATAAAATAGGCCAGAATAGTATAGTAGCACTGTAGCAGGATATTATGTCGGCATTACTGGCAAATGTTGTCTCCTGCCTAGCCAGGTCATAAGAACAGGCCCCATTTGTGACTAGTGGGCCAGATTAAGGAAGAAACAATGAGGGTCCTATGGCTATATATATGCCATGAGTGACTATATATGTCCATAATGTCCATAAATTTTGATATCTGAACAAAGTGTTGATATCTGTCCCAAAGTCATCCATTTTTTTAGGACTTAAGTTTAGGACTCTGAGACCAGTAATATATTGTCATTCAAGGATTCAAAACAATACGACAAGTGTTTTGGTCAAACAAACGAAAATATTCATGTCCACAGGCTGCAACACGCGATGTTGACACATTATTCTGAAGTTGACCAAACGTTGAAATCGACGAAAAACGAGCCAAAAAACGGTTATTGAGCTAATCAACCAAATAAATATTTGCCATAAGTTTGAAGTTCCATAGTCCAAATATTTGATGAGTTTCTTTAGCCCATTTATACCAACAAAATTTTAAAAATTCCCTGTATTTAGATATTCGCCATATTGATCGTCACGCTGTTTAGCAAGAAATCGACATGTCAACTTGTGCCGGCCCGGAAGTGTCCTGTTTACTTGTTACACAGGATATTAATAAGTTAATGTGAAAATATGAAGATAAAAGTATCTTTTTGAAAATAAAGCCTCTCAAACCTCCATTTGAAAGGCTTTTAAAAACGCCAATCCGTTCGGAACCTACAAATTCGAGGGGTGGTATTTAAGCTTGCGCAATGCAAAGTTTGAAGACCCATATCTTAGCAATCACGCAATTAATCAAAAATCGCCACGAGGAAGTTGAGGAGAATTTTTTTAAGAACAACATATATGAATTTCATGGCAAAAAAGCAAAAAACCGCTTGCAGAAGAGCTCTGAGGTAACCCCATATATTTGTTTGCAAATTTCATGTGATGAAGCGTTTTACGCATTCTGATTGGCTTAGGGCAAAAATGTAAACAAAAGCGCTGATTGGTCGAGAACGAAATTCCCCCTTGTTGCCTGGGTAGGCATATGAGAATTCAGTAGATGCCATCATGTCAAGCTATATTATTTTATACAACAAACACTGGAATCTGTCAATCTGTCATATACACTATAGTATACACAAAGATCAAAGTATACTATTTGGCATTACAATAAACATCATTTATAAGTATAAAGGCTGAGTCAAATGTAAGCCTTTCTATAAAACTAATGTTGTTTTAATTCAAATATTGTCGCAGCAAATTGAAATTTTAAGCCGGAACATGTGCTCAAAATTCACGAATGAAGATAGCAAATATTTCCTTTCAAAATTGCTCTATTATATATAAAACATAACAAAATTCTTACCTGAATGTTATCCAGTCATCCCTGATCTTTTATCTTCAAAATAAATAATACTTTCACTCAATAAAAGCTCTGTATTTGAGCCATTTCGAGCGGAAAGTTTAAACTAAAAATATTTTAAAATATGGCGGTGTGAATTGTGATGCTATCCCAGAAAGCTTTGTAAGAAAATTAGGCACCAGTCTGTCAAACCGCACTCGTCGTGAGAATTTTTGGTGGTACTCATGGTGTTTTGTCAAAAATGCTGTTTTGTCAAGAGACAAAATACCTACCTCCACAAAGTCCACAAAGACTATAACTATTTTTGTAAATATAATTTCAATGAACTGACGAAAAATTTAAAATTAATTAACTCAAACTGGGAAATTTTGACCAGTTAAATAAATACATTTACCCTTTCTAAATTCTCACAACTTTCTATTTGAATAGGAAATAAATAGCTTTTAAGATCTAATTATTTTGCTATTTATTAGCTATGTTAACAATAGCTCTAAAAATAAAAGTAAACATAGTTTAAAAATAGCTATTTAATAGCCATTTTGAACAAAATTCGCCACAACTTTCTATGAATAGGAATTAAATAGCTATTTAAGATCTATTTATTTTGCTATTTTATAACTATTCTAAGAATGGCTCTAAAAATTCAAAAAATAAAAGCAAACATAATTTAAAAATAGTTATTTAATAGCTATTTGGAACAAAGTTCGCCACAACTTTCTATGAATAGGAATTAAATAGCTACTATAGCTATTTAAGATCTATTTATTTTCCTATTTAATAACTATTTTAACAATACTCAATAATATCTCCAAAAATAAAAGCAAACATAGTTTAAAAATAGCTATTTTATAGCTATTTTGAACAAAGTTCGCCACAACTTCCTACGAATAGGAATTATAAATAGCTATTTAAGATCTATTTATTTTGCTATTTAATAACTATGCTAAGAATGGCTCCAAAGAAGATAAGCAAAAATAGTATAAAAATAGCTATTTAAAACTATTTTAACTGACTCGCCTGTCATCAATAGGAATTAAATAGCTATTTAAAAGCTATTTTATAGTGAGATTCCGTCAATTACTCTTTCAAATAGGATTTGAATATCTATTTCAAAGCTATTTTTTTGAAAAATATAAATAACCTATATTTTAAATAGGGTGTAAATAGTCGTATACTATTTTATGAAATTTGATAAATAGTAATTAAATAGTCATATTTTTGAAAAAATACGGAAAAAATAGGGCTAAATAGAGAAAAAATAGGCATAAAGTAGGTTATAAATATGTCGGATTCTACAAGGGATACCATTTCCTGATACATATTTTCCACCCTCCCTCCCCCCACCCGTTTCAATGTTGGTGCCGTGCATCCAGACATCAGATTTTTGTAGGCCCAACATTGAACTTGGGGTATGGGGGGCGCTATTCCTTTCAATTTATATGATTTTACAGCTGCTGTCCCTTAGTTTCTGGCAAAGATTGTCTTGGCGGTGATCAATGGTGTTTGGAATTTGGTAATTAAACGTTTTAGTTTTAAGTTTATACCGTCCAATAACATATATTCCAGCATCGAAGCATATGTGGGCAAGTTTTGGTAGTTTTAGATACTATATATCCATTCATTCCGGGGGGTTGTTATTTTTAACACTTTATATACCAACACAGGAACGTGTGCTACTAGCTTTAATGCTTAATAACCACATTTATATTCACGTCTAATATCATCATAGCTCTCTTCCTTGTGAAAAAATCCGCGGAAATTTACTCAAAAGTTAATGCATGCTGTCTTTGGAATGATGCAAAAGGCCATAATTACGACGAACGTGGAACCGAACTATTCAGAAATAATCTGTTTTTGAGTCGAGTAGGTTTAAATCTCATCTCACAACATATCAAACTGCGGGCAAAGAAAATAAATATGCATTGTTTTCGCCTTTTACCACTTATACTTGAGAACTGGGGCCATTTCCAAGCTAAATTTCATTTGCAGTATAAGATCTATAGCACAGTTCATAAAGCAGACAGTAGTCAAATTTCATACTTCTCAAATTACACGAGGCTCACTAACGATTCTCGGTCTAAAAAGCTGATTCGCGTTACTATAAATTTTACTTATCTTACATTTTATATCCATATGTGAACAAGAAACCATTTTTCTTAATTACAATCGGTTCACTTTCCAGATATCCCTTTTTTAAGTTCGTTTTTGAACGAAGCTCACTACAAAACTGTAAATAAATCTATATCTCATTGGCTATTTTAGGACACAAAGTGAGAATCGTTGCTAGAAAATCATTCGTATCTTAGTCAGTTCGTTACGAAAACTTGTAAAATTGTGCTATCTTGTAAAATATGTTGGACTTTAAATGCCTAGGGTGAATTTGTTTGATATTGTCTGCTATTAAGGCTTTTATGGCGGGTGAGCCCATGAAAATTTGGTGAGATTCGTGGTGAGATTTGTTTCTATATTGATCTCATTGTCACATATATGCGCTTAGTTATGCTAACAAGATGGCTCAGTTGTGAGTTTTCTTTAAATAGAGTCCCAATACCATTACCATGCATGGAATTCAATGAATTGTGACTAAAATGTGGCACTACAAGCCTTTAAATTTTATTTTAAATATACGCGATTTTGAAGCCGGATTTTAGCTATTTCCTAACACACGCATACGCAAACATTGTATAACACAGTACACGAAAATTATCTGTGTGCCCAACGAAATTGCTAAAGGACCGAACCGAGGTGAAGAAATTATGAAAATATAACTGCGTACACAGCTTGATGATGTCTACAAGTTGAATTAAGTTAAGTTTAAGAGTAATGGTATTACTTCAACAGACAATCTTTGACAATTTAGATTGGGACAATCTAGTTTTCACATGCATTCGGTTGTAATATACCATTTCCTGATACATATTTTCCACCCTCCCTCCCCCCACCCGTTTCAATGTTGGCGCCGCGCATCCAGACATCAGATTTTTGTAGGCCCAACATTGAACTTGGGGTACGGGGGGCGCTATTCCTTTCAATTTATATGATTTTACAGCTGCTGTCCCTTAGTTTCTGGCAAAGATTGTAGCTGATTTTTGTCAGAGATTCTGTCTGGTAAACAAAATCACTGAACTGACACGTGTCACAGATAAGACAAAAACATTAATTGATGTTATTTTAACAACCTACGATGAACACTATTCGACAGCTGGCTCGTTAAGTCTTGGTATAAGCAATCATGATCTTGTATTCATTGTTCGGAAGAATAAACTCGTACGTCCCAAACCATGGCTTATTGAATTTAGAAGCATGAAAAACTTCAATCATTCGAAATTCCTTGCTGATTTGGAGATGGTCCCCTGGGATTCAGTCTATCTATATGACAATGCCGATGATGTTTGGAATCATTGGAGTACATTGTATACAGAAATTTTGGACCAACATGCACCGATTAAGAAAAAGTGGGTTCGAAGTGACCAATTGCCTTGGATCACCCCTCAAATCCAACAAGAAATCTTGTTACACAATAGACTGTTCAAGCGTCACAGCTGTAAAGCTTTTGAATAATTTTAAAACTAGAAATAATCAGAGATTAATGAAGTGCGTTCGAAGTGGATTTTAAATTGTTTAGAGAATTGTTTTGACTTGTTGAATAAGATAGAAGCATACTGTTGAGCTGTTTAGCATTGGTTAGCACTATTTTCCATCCAGCAAACTGCTTTATCGATTTTGCAGTCGTTTTTTTAAAATTTTTTTATTAATTCGGCTAGGGTTCCAGTAGGGTTTGGGTTAGTTACATTGCCATTTAGAATCGGTTTGCTGGAAAATAGTGCTAACCTTTAGGCTTTAGCATTGTTTTGTAGTCCAGGCCTCCCCTCCCTTGCCGATTTGTTTTCAAAATGGCATCTGTAGAGGCCTATTCAACTTCCAAGGGAATTTTAACAGGTTAACACAACAATAAACCTTTAATAATGTTGAATTACAAAGTCAACAGCATCCTGGCTGCATTACAATATCAATGTTGTCAAGTTTTAACAATGTCAATACATTATCGTGTTCGACTTTATATGAAGACCAAACGTTTTACAACAGCAACCGTTAGCACTGTAGAGGTCTATTCAACTTCCAAGGGAATTTTAACAGGTTAACACAACTATAAACCTAAATAGTGTTGAATTAAAAAGTCAACAACATCCATCCTGGCTTCATTACAATATCAATGTTGTCAAGTTTTAACCTGAATGTCGATACTTTATCAAATATACGACCAAGACCAAACGTTGTACAACAGCAACCCTAACTTTAACAATGTCAATAACGTACAGTATATAAGAAAGTTCAACAAAGTTGGAGTCCCATACAGTCGATTTTACCAAAAGCCAATTTCAGTCACTTGGTTGGTTAGAGAATCATAGGTGAAGTTGAGGGATTTATCATTGGATTGCAGGATTAGGATAATAATGTCGTCTTCTGTCACCGATGGCAATACGAAAGTTGGATCAAGTAGTTGCACAAGACTTTCAGTCATATTACCGTTAAGTCTCAGGTTGTGGGATTCCTGTGGTTTTAGGAGAAGACGTAAAGACCAGGAAACGTCACAGGTTGATGGTAATTGCATCAATTTACATGAGTTGCACACAGCTTTTCTAGGATCAACAATTTCAACGGTACGTTTCCGGCAGCCGTTACAGGACAACGATTTGGAGGCTTGTTGAACTGAACGCCAATAATTACAGCCTCTACTTTCATCGAGGTATCATCTTCATATACGGCAACAGGTACTGTGAATGGTTCGACTTTGCTTTAAAATGCTTTAAAATCCTCATTCCTTGGAGTATTAAGGTAGCACTTGTACTTCGTAGACTTGATTCTCACATTCTTTAGTTGGTATGTTTTGTCTTGTTGAAGAGAGTTTACGTGGTCACACCAGAGAACTAATTTGATGTGAGCAGTTGTGTCTGCAACAATGACATCTTGCTTTTTCAGTTTCCCAAATCGTGTTGACAGAATTTTCACACCAGAAATTTTAAGAACTTTCGCTTTGACGAAGATGAGTTGTTCAGAAGCAAGGTTTGGAACTGATGATATTTTAACAGGATTTGCAGCTGCTGATAGGCTCTTCCAAATAGGGAAAGCTGATTTCCTTCTGATCCAGAGGGGTGATTTTGGTGAACTTCGTTATTGTTAAGTCGTCATCTCCGCTATTGGCTCACTTATAATTCTTAAGTTTGATGGGACTTTTTGTTGTTGCAATTGCTTGAAGCTTGGGCAGTTTTTCGGGTGAAAAGTAAATTGCCCTGACTGGTTTGTCGCTACCCTGAACGATGCAGTTAAAATACTTTTTCTGCGATCCTGTGGCATTTTTCACCTCTGATATGTTGTGCAGGTAGCAGTTAATTGTCGTATCTTCCAGCAGGGCTATAAAAAGACCATATATATTACTACTTTTTATACAGCCATAAACACATATTATTATATAGTAGAGAGTGAGATACTGAAAAATACAGTGAGATATTTTTCATATCTTCACTAGTGAAGATATCGATCACGTGATAATTTGCTTTTGAGTGTGAAATTTCAAACATTACACGGTGGCTTGAAGATATGACTTTTATCTTCTCGTGTTAAAAACAATTTTTACACACTCGCTGCGCTCGTTCGTCAAATATTGTTTTCACCACTCGAAGATAAAAGTCATATCTTCGGGCCGCCATGTAATATCCTCTATATATGTGAAAGGACGTTTATTCAAAAATGTAAAGTTTTATCTAATTAAATGAAGACATCTTCATACTAAAAATAAAATCTCATTCTTAGTCTGAAGATGTGTCGAGTTACAATGTTTTGGGTTCATTTACTTTATAAGCTGCACTTCAATTCTATGTGATAAATATTGTTGGACTCGTAACTTACATACCTTCAGCAGCATTGTTAGAATCTTCCATTAATTAGTGAAGTAAAACAAAGAATGACACAAGTAGCAGTATAGGTTTAACAATCTAAATGAAAAATAGAAAACAGTGGTGAGTAAAATGACACATTTTAGTATTACCATAAACAGTAACAGACCCTTACCTAGAAGCCAGTAAAACAATACAATTTCATGCAATGAAGGCACTTGTTGAACAAATTTAAATTGAACAAATAATTACGACAACAACATGTACATTGCATATGTTGTGATCATCATTTTCAGAGAGTAATGTACGGGCCCTTATGAAACAGACATATAGGTCAATTTCACCTACTGAAATCGGTTAAAAGTCATTTCTGCCATTTTATCAAGCCTGACTTCTTCATTTAGTCGATACTCCAACGTTTTAGAAGATTTTATACTTGTTAATCGTTCGTAGCTTACTGGTTCAATAACACATGAGGATAATGATTTCACTCTGCTAAGAGCCACATATGTGGTTCCCAGCATTCTTTCCATTTTCCCAATATTTATCCATGCTTTACCCAAAGTAAGTCCTTGACTTTTGTGAATTGTTATTGCCCACGCTAATCTAAGGGGAAGCTGTTGTCTCTCATGGAAACTGTCAGATAACTGCGCTGAAGCAGTAACTGGGCATATTGGCACACAAGATGGAAGTGTCTCACTAATCGATGGGCCTCAGTAATTATCAAATTTAACAATGACTGCTATTGGCAGGTCAGGTGGCTGATGGTTATTCTGATATATAAAATCTATGACAGTCCCTGTTGCACCATTGCATTGACCCACTGCTGGCCATAAATTCATTGTGAGCATTACTTTCGCATCTTTAGCAAAACAAGTAATGGTTGAGGACCTGAAAAGTCATGAGCAGATATTTTTTTGCAGTAGCAGATGAATGCCTAGCAGTCATTTGAGCAACAGGTTGCTGGAGTTTGATAAGCTGTTCATGATTATAGTTGCCAACTTCTTCATTGCTGTATAACAATCTTGTAGCATCCTTAAATTCAGACAAATTATCAACATTTGATGGCTGTCTAGTTAACAACAGTTTCCAGTCGTCTACTGTTGATTCTCCTTTTCTTAATCTCAAGAGCAATTCTCTAAAGCATGTTTGTTCTGGATTATGTCCCTGGTACACACTGGTTAACATTGAGTTTAACAACATTATCAAACATCTTATACGTTAGATAACCCTGTTCACGAATACCATTGGTTGGTATTGCATGATAAAGTGGTTTGTCTGCCACTGGGGGCAGCTGGGCTGGATCTCCACATAAGATAACTGATTTGTCACCAAGCAGTTTATCTTGTAGTCCAGATGATTGTTTTAATCGCCTATCTATCCAGCCAAATGTTACTTGACCAAGCATTGAATATTCATCAATTATAATATAATCAATGCTATGTAACGATTCTTGCAATCGAATTAAATTCTAGGCTGTAAGATCCTTATTTCCCCTTCAGCCAACTGGTAACTTTAACAGAGAGTGCACTGTTACCCCATTTATATTAAAGGCAGCTTTGCCACTTGTTTCTGTGACTGCACATTTGGTAGTTAGCAGTGTACGGATAGCATTTATAAGTTAACTCTTACCAGTACCTGCTACTCCATTAATAATGAGTACAAGTGGGGTTCTATTTGAAGATATGTCATTAAAGTGAGACCTGACAATGTTGTATGCGAGTTCTTGCATTTCACTGAAGGTATCAACATCTATGTTTTCATGTAAGACTTGATCACTCCCTTCTCTCATATTTTTTATCCACACTGGCATTTCACCAATTTGTTGCTCAGAATAATTAGCCCTATCACCGTTCCAGTCATAAGCAATTTCTGCATTTGTTAGGCGAGAATCAGAGAAAGGCATTGGTAAATCAGATATGATCATCCACTCTTCACAAGTATTTTCAGGCTGTTCGTCAGCATTCAGATTTTCTGATTGTTGTTGGTTTTGAACAACTGATTGAAGTTTGTCAAACCAGTCAGGGACATTTTCCTTTGCATATGCTGTCTGAAGAAATTCTTGTCATTTATTTATCATGTTTTCATCTGATGATTCTTCATTATCCCAAGCATTTTCTTGTGCTATTTTCCAAGACTTGTATCTTAACAACTGATATTTGCAATACTAAGGAAGATTTGACCCTCTTGGATTGCATGAATAGTTTGGAAAAATTCTAGGAATAACATCATCTGGAAGTCTGGTTAGCTTATTATTCACAACCTTAAAATGTGTTGCAAACTGAACAAAATTTAATTTGGTTGTAATAGACATCAAGAAGAGAATTGCTTGAGCAAACGTCCGCTTCTTCAGTTGATGTGTTAATTCTACGAGAGCCATTTAAACTAACTGGTATTACTCTAAAGCTAGAGCTGTGAAGCTTTAGTGAGAGCAAATGGTGCATTGTTTATTGTGCAGCATAATCTCTTTCACCAATAGTTTTCATAACAACTTTTTAATAGCTTTGTGAGGATTATCATTGCTTGGAGCATTATTCATGATTCTGTTGAATGCTGCTTTAAGCATAGGTGTCCTGGGTTCACCCTTAGAAGCATACTTAGTGAGGTACTTGACACAAGCATAATGATCGATAACCACTTGTATGTCACACTTGGCCCTCCAACCTTGTAGTTGGAGCTGCTGGTTGTTATTCAGCTGAGAATCATTTCTTCTGGTGACAATTCTTGCCTTATATTGTGGCTCATTACCTTTAGTATGGATTTCTTCAAAGTCTAACCTTGTCTTAGAGCATGTATCCATTGGAAAATTGAATCTACATTTTGGTTCAGAATCCATTGTCTTTTTTCTTAAGCAATAGCTAGTACTACAACGTGTATGGCGCTGGATCATATTTAACGTATCACAAAAATCATCATGCATATCACAATCTGCAATATCCTGATAATGCTTTTGACATGGATGAATTTTTGGTCTTACCCATAAAGCATCATCTGGTGGATTTGGGTTAACTGTGGAAAGCAACCAGTCAACATACTTACAAGCTGTTTCAGCAGCTTTGTTACCAACATTAATATTAGTATATTATATTATTACATGATTAGTGATAGTCGGGCAAGATTCTTCGAATCATTAGAACAGGACATTAAAGCAAACCCAAGAAGATTTTGGTCCGTTTTCAAACTTGGCAATAAAGCAAGCAGCGTTCCTGAGCAAATGTCTGTACCATCTAGCAGCAAAAACACAGCCACGGGTGTCACATCCGTTCGGAAAGTAGTCTCTAGTTCTGTCGACATCGCAGAAGCCTTCAACCAACATTTTGCATTGGTATTTTCTGGCGATACAGAAGAACCTCGCCCCCAATTACCTACTATTAGCTGTCCAGTCCTTCAAGATATATCCCTCTCACCCTGCGAGGTTGCCGCTGCACTTCGTTCCCTTGACGGCAGCAAAGCAACTGGACCTGATGAGATCTCGGCAAGGCTACTAAAAGAAACAGCTGAACAGGTCGCACCCTGTCTAACTTTACTCTACAACAAGTCACTCGAGACAGGCGTATTTCCAGACGAGTGGAAACTGTCAAATATTGTGCCGATACACAAGAAAGATAACAAAGATCATGTTGAGAACTATCGTCCAATATCCCTGCTAAGTATTATCTCGAAAATTCTAGAACGGTGTGTTCTGATTCGTGTGCTTGACCATCTATTACTGATGTTAGACCGTGCGCAACATGGATTCATTCCTGGAAAATCCTGTGTGACTCAACTGGTTGAAGTTATCGACTACATTGGCTCCTTACTAGACTCTGGCAAGCAGACTGATGTGATTTATCTAGATATGTCGAAAGCCTTTGATAAAGTGCAACACTCTCTTATCGTTGATAAACTACGCCAGTACAACATCTCTGGTAACCTGTTGAACTGGTTTACATCCTACCTTCGTGGGCGAAGACAACGTGTTACGGTACTTGGTGCGACATCAAAAGAACGCAAAGTAACATCTGGTGTTCCTCAAGGTTCCATCCTTGGACCAATGCTCTTTCTTTTATATGTGAACGATCTGCCCAAGACTGTGAATTTCGCTGATGATACGAAGATTCTGAAGCAAGTGGACAACCTGCAAGACACTGCTGGTCTTCAAAACGACATTATCAGTCTTAACGGTTGGGCCACAGATAACGGTTTGACATTCAACCAAACGAAGTGTAAGTGCCAGCGCATCACACGGAAAAAAACACCAGTTGAGTATCCCTACGCCCTGAATGGATCAGTACTTGCCGCTGCTAATCAAGAGAAAGATCTCGGTGTATGGGTGTCGAATGAGTTGTGCTGGAAGAAACAAGTTGTCGAACAGACTTCAAAAGCGAACAAACTTTTGGGATTTGTCAGGAGATCTTCCCGGGAGATACGAAGCCAAAGAACAAGAAGATGTCTGTTCCTCTCTGTTGTACGACCACACCTTGGCTACGCCACCCAGATTTGGGCCGCTCAGACCATCGAGCTTATCAAGCGCGTTGAAAGAGTGCAGTGTCGTGCAACAAAATTCATACTAAACCTTCCATTCCACGGCGAACTAACTTACGAGGATCGACTACAAGCTACAAATTTACTACCGATTAGTTTCTGGCATGAATATTTAGACTTGACGTTTTTCTTCAAGATGTTTAACAGGTTGGTGTGCGTCAGTGAGGAGATAATCCCTGAACGGAAGCATGGAAATATAAGAACAACGCGAGCTACGAGCAATTCTGACATCATTACGTTCAGGATTAGAAAATGCAGAACAGTAACATTCCAAGGGTCGTTCATGAATAGAACAGCAAGAGTTTGGAACGTTCTTCCTGCAGAACTGAGACATCAGTCTCTCACTTTACCAAGATTTAAATCTCTGCTGTTAGACTACTTCAAAACTGCCTTATACCTAAATTATCAACCTCAAAATCCTCGGACATGGAAGTCTATCTGCTTAAAGTGTAACACTGCTCGTAGTCTTGCTGCTTCACTCTCTTGCTGCTATTAGTGTCTCATAGTTATTGAAATATAAACATGATTAGGAAGGTTGTAAGTCGTCATTTTATGTTCTGTCTAAACTTGCATAGATTTGTGTCAATTTGTGCACGTCCAGGTTCTTTACTGTTTTGATCTATTTTTCGAAGTTGTCAGATCTTCCTAGCCTTGTTTATTAAGTTTCAATAGCTATTTTATATTCTATGAATTGTTATATGTTTTATAAAATTCGCAAGCAGCTAATTAAGTATGTTTGTGAAATACAATACAACGAAAACTTCGAGGAATTTGTTTGCTTGGCTTCAAGTTCCAATTCGTGTGATGACTTTGATCAGGTAAATCGAAGTTTTCGTTGTATTTTATTTGTGTTTTATTATCTATTTAAAATTTAAAGGGCCCACAGTAATTGGTAACATATACTGTTGTGGTGACCCTGCCATGAATGCATGCATGATAATGGCGAAGTTAAATAAATAAATAAATAAATATCATTGTCAAGCTCAGATATGTTTTTATCTTTGTTCTCATCTTTGTATTTGTGAGCTAAGAATCCTTTAAGGGCAGTCTTGGTGAGATCATACAAACCAGGGTCATTGTTTAGTTTAGCAATGCCATGGCAATGTATGCTTCCTCTTGCCTGGTATTCAAATCTATACCAGTGCCATTTGGCGTCAAGTGTTTTGTACAGCCAGTATTTGATAAAGCTTTCTACTCTTTGTGTAAAAAACCAATCCACTAAATGTGGATTTTTTATCACAACTTGTTGCCTTTCTTCACTAGTACCATTTTCATTTCCTAATAGCCTATGCAACTCTGGCCAATGCATATCAGCCGAAGAAAATGTAAAGAAATGTAGGAGTCCTAACAGTTGTTACAATGGCTTTGAGATCTTCTCTCACCTTATACCAGTAAGCATTAGAGCCAGCAATATTTGCTACATATCGAGATATCTTAGAAATAAATGCATTGCTGTTATCACCTGCTGCCATTTCACGCAGTTCATCTATTGTCAAGTGAGCTTCACCTGGATTTTGCTTAAGAAACATTCCACTTTGTTGTAAGGTTCGTTTTCTCTGTATCATATTAAGTGCCCAATAACAAAACCTTGGATGACTGGCAAATCGGAAAATCCATTTGCCATTAATCTGCTCAGCAAATTTAACAAGATGCTTTACTTTCTTACCTAAGGGAATGTCCTTTAAAAGTGATGGATTTGTAGGATCCCCTTTACCTGTGGGAAATAATGTAGGAAATACCAATGTTGCTAGAAATGATGCCTGATATTCATTTATAGGCAAGTTATCAACAGTGGGCCAGTTCATTGGTTCATTTGGAAATAATTGATTTTTTATTGCATCTACTTCTGTTTTCTGTTTTTCACAGGCTGGCATAAAGCTACTCATTTCTGTTGTTTCATTGTAGACTTTGTCTTCAAGGTTATCACTGGAAGGGCCTAAGTCAGGCGAAATAATTTCGTCTGACAAAATATCATTTTCAGACTCAACTGTCATTATATCAGATGGAACACCATCAATAGGGAGTGATTCTAAGGCATCTTGATTGATAGTCACATTACTATAATGTGGATTATTTCTCAAAAGCCATAGCAATGTATGATGCACTTTTTCTCTTCTGACCTTAACATCCTTAAATGTGTTATCTTTACCCTTCATCTTAACTACAATAATAGACAAGTCTCTGGGATATCTTGGCAAAATTGATGCAAGCTCTTTAACATGTTGAGACAAATTAATGCAATGCCCTGAATACCCCCATTTGCCCACCTGGTTTGATATACACCCTCATTATAGGCAGAGCACAAGCAATGAGCATTTCTTCAGTTTGAGTTAGGCCTTGCAACTCAACAGGTCCTGGTCCTGGAATCATGCTGTTAGCATCAGATAATTTTTTTGGTGTGTTTTATCCCTAGAACAGCAAGAGCACAAATAGCTACTAGGAGATTTTGGCTTACCGGTAATTGGCCATGCCTCTTTGCAAACCGTGCACTGGAATATAAAATACTGTACAGATTTATGAAATTGTTTCATGTTACATTTTGCCCAACATTGATCATGCAGCGGTCTATTTTTCATAGCATCAAATTCATCCAGATATTTAGATTGAGTGACACTCTGTGCAGTTTCACTAGCCTTCTGCCACTTTGTCAAGCCGAATTCTTTTTGCATTCGCACTTTCATCAGATCGCCGTTTTTTAGCATAAACTTTCCTTTTCTCCTGCATTTCCTTTCTTTTACTATCTGTCCGATTACCTGCACTTTCATTTGGTAAAGTGGAAACATAATGTACATCAGTTACATAACCTAGAAATACGATTTTTTGCCTCTGGTGTAAACTAATTGGGTTAACAATGGTTGCTTTAACATTTGGACTGGAGTCAGTAATTATGAATAGTGCAGCTTAAAGCATTTGCTATTGCTTGAATAATGATATTATCACACCATGTTCCAGGTTGTGACATTTCTTCAATATAATTTTCCCATGAAATATTTGCAAGACTTTCAATATATAACTCAGGATTATGCACTAAATGTGTAATGCCTGCACTTCGAATATCAAGATGGCAATCAGGATTATTATAAAGACCATGTCCTAAGGATGCAAAAAAGCAGTCACCAGGTGAACTTCCACAGTCATATGGCACTCGGCCTATTAAAGCTAACTTATTTTCCAAAACATTCCAGGGAAAATTGGTGTTATTATTTGCTGAATACATAACACCACGTAATTTAGACTTAGAGGATTTTTCTCTCACAAAGGTTCCAACACAATAATTTATCAAAGCATCAGAAGTTTCATTGGTACCACACATGTCATTTTTGGTAATCAAACATGGCAAAAGATGTTCATGAAAAATACAGCTGAATTCATCAGTATAACTTTGCTCTGCTTGTCTATGATTACTAAATAGGTTCATTGTATCAACAAAATAACTGGGATTTGTATATTTATTTGTGTGACCACTTACTATAGACACAGTCTTTTTGCCCAAAGGCAACCCAGCCAAATAACTGGGATTCGTGTATTTATTTGAGTGACTATAGACATGGTCTTTTTGCCCAAAGGCAACCCAGCCAAATAACTGGGATTCGTGTATTTATTTGTATGACCACCTACTATAGACATGGTCTTTTTGCCCAAAGGCAACCCAGCCAAATAACTGGGATTTGTATATTTATTTGTGTGACTACCTACTATAGACATGGTCTTTTTGCCCAAAGACAACCCAGCCAAATAACTGGGATTTGTGTATTTATTTGTCATGCTTTGAAACTTGTCGGAAACTGACCTTATTACTATTTAGCACTAATTCAATCATAGTAAATTTTAGATTAATTAGGGATATTACATTACAAACGAATATAGACAATTATGATTGGGCAAAGTAATCACGTGATTAGGGCAGCATGACAATAACAAACAGATTTTGTGGGCTTGTGTATTGTGACTCGTGTGTTGTTATATATACTCGGTGAGAGATGGTGATTTACATATCGAAACGATTGTGACATAGTGACCTTTTTATTAAATATTTTTGTTTGTCGTTTATTGTATTTTAATTTGTGAACGTGTGGGACTTCTGAAAGGTTTGAACTCCCTTTCCCCACATTACTGGCACCTCACAGACGGGATTATTTGATGAATATTTTGCGACGAGTTGTGGAATAAACGATGTCCTTAAAGAAGCAACTCGCAGAATTAGACGTGAAGTTAAAGGCCTTAACCTTTCGAACCAAATGCAGTGACGAGGTTATTGAAAAAGGCGAAAAAACAGCAGTAGAGAGACAGAAAGAATCTATCGTGGCAATTGTAAGTACAATTAACATTTTAAAAGGAAATATCGAGGAAGCGAAATTTTGGGCAGGGTGAAGATGAAGCCGATATAGAACAATGGTCGTGAGACATTGAAGCGCAAGTCACCATAGCTGACCAGAGTTGCAAAAAACTTGACGATTTTATTAATGATATTGATAGCAAAGCAAGAGAATTAGAATTGGCTAAAAATCATGACCAAACATTGAAATTTGAGAAACAGCTTTTAGAACAAAAACTTGAGGCTGCTATCAAAACCAAAGAGCTCTCTGAAAGTACAGTGCGCTTACCAAAGTTGAATATATAAAAATATTTCCTACGGAAATATGTTTTTTTATGTCAAGCCTGAATTATAGTGATAAGATAAAAGTAGGAAATAGTTAGATTGGATTGTGGCAGATTAAGGTGGGACTTGGCGGAGAAGGAAATTCCGGTGCTTTTACCTACGTAAGAAACATTAAGTCAAGGCCAAATTTTAGCTACTAAAAGCAAAGCAAAGTTATTCACTTCTCAATTCAACTTTCTCGTGATCGAGTGAAGACATACGAATTTTCTTTGACGTTTTGGACTTCTTTCTTTTACCTTTATACAGGTGAGATTTTCAATTATTATTATTCTTATATTATTCTTATATTTTGATACTTTTAATTTGGGTATTATGGAATTGTCACGCCCAAAAGTTCTTGTTTTTGGACACTCGTTTGTCAAACGTCTCCATCGCGATTTGCGCTCTAATTTCGACGTCCGTGCGGCCATTAGTTTTAATATAAAAAGGGCCTCCGTCAAATTGCATGGAATTGGGGGACGCACAGTAGACAAGTTGATCACGTTCGATTTAGATAAAGTTCGTTCATTTCGGCCTGCCATTGTAATTTTGGAAGTGGGTACTAATGACCTTAGCCATAGCAAACCCGAAGTAGTGGGTTCCAAAATCGATGACCTCGTTCATCTTTTACTTCAGCTCCCTTATGTTCAGATAGTAGGGGTTTGCCTAATTACACATCGGGCAGCTTCCCCGGAGTTCAACAGGCAGGCGTTTATTTTGAACCAATATTTAGAGGTCGTTCTGGACGGTGTTCCCAACGTTTTTTGCTGGAGTCATAAGGGATTCTTACAGCGCGTAAAATCTCCGTTTCTACCAGACGGTGTTCATTTCAATCGTAGAGCGCAATACACGCTGTATCGCAGTTATCGCGGTGCTATTCTTAAAGCTTTAGCAAGCCTTCCTAGTTGTTAGTCTGTTATCTTCGGTTGTATGTCTTTTATACTTTTATGTCACCAGATACTGTTTAATTCTATTTAGATTTCTTCTTGCACGAGGCTACGCCCTCACACTTTGATTCTGGTGTTGGCTACGTCCACACAGAATATGTTTTATTTGGAGAAGTACTCCATACTTTATAATCCTTGTGAGATTTTATTCTTGCTTATTTGTGATGGCTACGTCCTCACACGTGTTAATCTGAGGCTACGTCCTCATTATTTCTTAGTGGCGTTTTATTGGGCGAGTGGTGCGGCCACTTCGTTGTGTGCCATGCTCGACCCAGCCTATATATTTAGTTTTATTTTATCTTGTTAGATTTTATACTTCATAAGCTTTTAGTATTCTCCCACTACGTTTCTGAGTGTGTTTTTCAGGAATTTTACCATGCCCGCCACTCGAAATCAACGTGCTCAGCGACCAGTATCGGTAGCCGTACCACCAGCACGCCGTTCCCATCGCGCTCGAGCGCCCCGTGCCTCAGGAACAACCACGACGGTTCCTTCGTCCAGCTCTCCTCAGCCAGCAACAGCTGCTCCTCTTGCTCCAGCCTCGGCTATCACGCCCCAACAGCTCCAAGAGATTGTCAGCTCCGTAACCGCCAAAGTGACTCGACGCCTGCAACCTGTAACAACTCCAGTGCCTGGTGTCCACGCAGTCCCATCGAGTTCTCCTTCGGGAGCTGCCTCAGTTACGGAATCGCCTGTTGTCCGCATCTCAGAGCATGTTGCGACTCCTCCGACGGCTGTGGCGCAACTTGCTGTTTCCAACGCTCTTGGTTCGGCCCACGCCACAATTTCAGGTGAGACGTTTTTGGCGCCTACTTCTAGCCATGTTCAACCAACGCAGGAATATGACTCTATTAGTTTACCTATAGACTGTCGGATTTCCATTAAACTTAAAAATAAAATTTGGAACGATGAATACATCGATTTCAGGTCTTTGTTGAGCAATCCAATGTCAGATAACAAATTTCAATTGAGCTTTAGCTCTTCTGACGCCGGTTTACCACCATCTCTTTCTGTAGAGCCGATAAGTAAAGCCAAGAAAATAACAAATATTTCTGTTTGGATGAGTGCGTTTCGCATTTTTGTAGGGGTTTATGCTCAAAAGTATCCTCATGAGTCCCCCGCACTCATGAAATACGGGGATATAGTACAGGACTTGGCAGATCGGGGTCAAAATTGGCGGTTCTATGATGAAAACTTGCGCTTTTTGCGTCAAACCCAGCAGAGTTTGTTGTCTTGGGCCAATGTTCATTGGGAATTGTGGCTGCGATCGCAGCATACTTCGCAAAAATCACCCAGTACAATGCAACGTGCCCCGTCTAACCTTTCTGGTAAGGGGCTGCAAAATTCAATTCCTCGAGGCTACTGCTTCAAGTTTCACAAAGGAGAGGCTTGTTCTGGGTGTGAATTTAAACATTCCTGTTTTAAGTGTGACGGCCTACACCCTGGCCTTAAGTGTAATTTTCGTGGCCAACTCAGGCGAGATTTTCCCAGACCAACCCGTAATTCTGCCAAGTCAGGTGCTGCTCCCAACGCCCATCAACCTAAATCGGCTTGAGCCATATTTAAACGGCTATTTTGCAGACATAATTTCTACACTCGTTTCTGGTTTTACTCATGGTTTTGCGTTACATTTTTCTGGTGTTGTTAATACCAAAGAAGGCAAAAATCTGCCTTCGGCTTTAGCTAATCCAACCGTGGTTGATAAAAAACTTGCTAAAGAACTGTCAGCTCTCAGGCTTGCGGGGCCTTTTACTGCCGCGCCATTTCACCCATTTAGGGTTTCTCCGTTAGGTCTAGTCCCAAAAAAGACCATAGGCGAATTTCGTTTGATTCACCATTTGTCCTTCCCGCGCGGTTCTTCTGTCAACGATGGCATAGCTACCGAAAACACTAGCGTGCACTATGCCACAGTTGCAGATGCTATTCGTTTAATTAAACTCGCGGGATCTGGATGTTTTCTTGCAAAAACCGATGTGAAGAACGCTTTTCGCATTATACCAATTCGACCCTCCGACCATTATCTGTTGGGCATGAAATGGCGCGGATGGTATTATTTCGATCGCTGCTTGCCTATGGGTGCTGCCAGTTCTTGCAAAACCTTTGAAGTTTTTAGTACTGCGCTTCAATGGATTGCTCAACACAAACTCGATATCGACTATATTTTACATTTACTTGATGATTTTTTGCTTATTTCGCCCTCTTATGACTCCTGTCAGACTCAGTTGCATCGCTTTCTAGCATTTTGTGCATTTATTGGTCTGCCGCTGGCCCAAGAGAAAACATTTGGGCCTTCGACAACCCTATCTTTCGCCGGAATTGAGCTTGATACCATTAAACTTGAAGCGCGTTTACCTCGCGATAAGCTGCAAAAATGCGTGGAGTTTATCAGCGAATTTTTGAGACGCAAAAAAGTTACTTTGCGCGAAATTCAGTCCCTAGTTGGCCTGTTAAATTTTGCGTGCAGCGTCGTCACCCCAGGAAGGGCATTTTTGCGTCGACTGATCGATCTCACCCACGGCGTCCGTTTCTCTCATCACCTAATAAAACTTAATGGCGAGGCTAAAGAGGATTTAAACGTTTGGTTATCTTTCCTGTCAACATTTAATGGCCAATCATTCTTTCTTGATGACAGATGGCAAAATTCCTCTAAACTTAATTTGTTCACGGACGCCGCGGGTGGCATCGGTTTTGGTGCAATTTTTGGCACGGAATTCTGCCACGGTTTCTGGCCCGATCACTGGCGCCACCGTAACATTGCCATTTTGGAATTCTACCCCATTGTACTGAGTCTGTATTTATGGGGTCATAAGATGGCGAATCATAACATTTTATTTTTTACTGATAATGAAGCACTCGTTCATGTCATTAATAAGCAATCATGCAAGGACAAAGCATTGATGTTTTTTGTTCGCAAGCTTGTTCTTGTTTGTTTAAACCACAATATTTTATTTAAAGCCAAACACATTCCTGGGACGTACAATCGCCTGGCTGATCTTTTGTCTCGATTTCAGGTTCAAACCTTCAAACGCGAAGCACCAGCCTCGATGAATTCCTGTGCAACGGACATTCCGCGGCATCTGTTGCCAGCGAATTGGGAAATATCGTTTCCCACTTGACACAATCGAGCCTCCAGCCATCCTCAATTCCGACTTACCGACGCGCTTGGAAACTTTTTGACCAATTTCATTCTCATGTGTTTCAAACATTTTCATATAAATTACCAATTTCGCCTCCTACATTAGCACTTTTTATCGCCTACATGTTTGCCGGCGCTACGCCCCTCTAGTGTCAACACCTACGTCTCGGCTCTCGGCTATTCCCACAAATTAATGGGATTGATGAATCCCACTAAAATATTTTACATTGTGCAAATGTTGAAAGGCTATGGCAAACAGGGTTTTCGTTTGGACGCTAGGTTGCCTATTACGCTAACGATTTTAAATAGATTAGTAATGGCTGTGTCGCTACGTACTACGACCAGTGCCAATTTCGTGCGATGTGTGCTCTAGCATTCTTCGCATTTTTGCGCGTGGGTGAGATCACCGCAACATCACAGCCGGGCAATTGCCCTATACAGGTAAACCAGCTCACCAAACTCTCAAGAGATGGTGAAGTGATTGGTTACAAATTAATATTGCTGATTACAAGCATAACTACAATCAGCGACCATTTACTATGGTCATCAACCGGCAAACAAGCGCTTGCCCTGTACAATTATTATCAACATATTTAAATCATCGTGGCTGTAGTCCGGGTCCAGTATTTATGACAGTGGAGGGCGTCGCGGTGCCGAGAAAAGTTTTTACCGCTAACCTTGTTGCTTGCCTCAAATACTGTGACCTAAGTCCGTCGCATTACAAATCACATTCGTTTCGAATCGGTGCAGCATCTTTCGCTTCCTGAGAATGGTTTGTCCGATGCACAGATTCGTCTTCTAGGTCGGTGGAAAACGAATGCATTTCAAAAGTATATTCGAGTTTCATCTCTTTCAACGACTGCTTCATTATCTGAGTAACACAATCCTTCCAAACCGGGCGACAATGTCGCGGGGTGTTGTCGCTTGGTCCGTTGCATAGTATATTTGGTGGTCCAGAGGGCCTGTCTAGCAGGGGCGGACATCTCTTCTTGATCACCAGATATATTAATGTTCATTAGTAATTATTCACTTAAATTAAACTGTTATTTCTGACTATTTTATTCCTTTCTGTGTGTGAACAACAGTTAGCAGGGGCGACTGTTAAATGTTTAGTGGTTGTGTTAACAACAGTCAGCAGGGGCGACTGTTAGATGTTTAGTATTGAAGGGCTCTATTTACAACATTCTGCTCTTACTCATAATGGTTTCGCAGAGGCGACTGCTTTCGATCGGCCTACACTACAGTTAACAGGTTACTGCGGTGTATTTTGGCTCGCTATACAACATTATAATAATTAAATGCTCTTTGCTAGTGGTGTTGCGTTTTCCTCGGGTGGGGAGACTCCGCGATTTACGCTCGACTGACTTCAATGGCGTAGTCTTTGGCGTGTAGTCCTGCCACCTTTACTGGCAATGAACATTAACAGACTCAAGTTATTAACTGAAATTATCAATTTTAATGATTTTATGATATTTCTAATTAAATGACGAGATTTTAAATAAAGCGGCTGTGAATCAATTTCACAGCCAAATTATCCCAAGTCGGGTGTTTTGTTTTGCCAGTAAACTGAGCTCGTTAAACGCAATACCTCGTGAAAAGCAGGAAGGCAAAGACATAAAACGAAATTTAACAGAAAACCACATGATTGGGTGCGATTTTCTGGTCAGTTCGAGGCCATGGTTGACTTGCTGAACGTCCCTGCCATAACAAAGTTTTCGCACCTAAAAGAGCTTGTAGAGCCGCATATTAGAAGCGCTATTGACTGTCTGCTGTTCACAGACGAGGGATATGAGCGGGCGATGAAATATCTTAAAGAGAAATACGGTCACCCTAGTGAAATAGCTGGATCGTACGTTACCAGTATAATAGAATTGCCATTTATAACCGAGCGAGACGTTCCCAAAATACACAGGTTTTACGAGCGCTTATTGTTCAATGTTGAAAGTCTAGAGACGCTCGGGAAACTTGATACCATTGAAGGTGTTATATACTATATTGTGAAAAAATTAGACGTCGTAAAAGCCGAATTAGTAGCGCACGTTGAAACGAATTGGAGAGACTGGACATTTAGAGATTTACTAAATGCGCTGCAAAAATGGACGGAGGTTAATTCTATAGCAAAAGTGCAAAGGCGAAGTAAGGATAATTCATTTCATAACCAAAATTACCAATCCACGGGTGGGCGGGCTTTGACCTCTCGTGATTCTGAGGTTAAGTGCATTTACTGCGAAAGTGTTGAACACAAAGCAATTTCATGTGATAAAGTAACGAACACGAACGAAAGAAAGAAAATTCTCGCTGAAAAACACCTTTGTTTTAACTGCGCTGTTGGGCAACATGCAGCAAGTAACTGCAAAAGCAAAGTTTCGTGCCAAAAATGCCAGAAACGTCATCACACATCCATATGTCCGTCATCGCCCGAAGTAGGATTAACAGCCATAAAGCCGAACGAAACAGTCGTGCATCCTGTGGTGATTGTACAGATTAAAGGCCGGAAATTCCGTGCGCTTTTAGATAGCGGCGCTAGTAATTCTTACATATCAGAGACTCTGGTAAATCTCACAGGTGTTCAAGCTGTCAAAACAACCACGCGCCAAATTTCCACGTTAATGGGTACCACAACGACAAAAATGTCGCAATTTGATCTAAGCGTTGAAGCAGTAAAAGGCGATTTCACTCTAAACGTTCGTGCAACTATGATAAAAAGGCGTGAACTGTTGCTGCTCGATAATACACACAACGAAAAGAGAATTGAAGCTCATCAACACTTGCGTGACATAGAATTAGAAGACCACCCAACTAAAGAAAGATTACCCGTGCATGTAATATTGGGCGCCAACGAGTACGCTAAGATTCGGAAGTCCCAGGTGCGCATCGGACACCAAGGGGAACCTGTAGCTGAGCTCACACGATATGGATGGGCTCTTATGAGTCCTGGAGCAGACACAGATCCATCAGTTGGTTGTCTTGCCGTCAATACAGCGTTGGACCACGAACAGTTGTGTGCACTTGATGTTCTTGGCCTGGCCGATTCTCCAGCAGGTGATCAGGACGTGGTTTACCAGGAGTTTCGAGAGCAGCTGAAGCGAAACGCTGATGAAGGTTGGTATGAGACAAGGCTTCCGTGGAAAGGCGACCATCCACCACTCAGTTATCGCAATGGTAGTATTCGCCGCCTACACACACAAGTTCGAAAGCTACGCAAAATGGGAAAGCTAGAAGACTACGACGCAATTATCCGCGAACAACTGAACGAAGGAATCGTTGAACGTGCTCCCAACGAAGCTGTTGGCTGTGAGTTCTACATGCCGCATCGCGCCGTGATCAGAGAAGGAGCCGAGAGTACGAAGATGCGTGTCGTTTACGATTGTTCCGCTCGTGAAGGAGAGGGTTCCATCCCTCAACGACTGCCTTGACATTGGTCCTCCACTCCAAAACAAGCTTTGGGACGTTCTGGTACGAGGACGTTTTCACCCAATTGCTCTTGCTGGTGACCTGAGAAAGGCGTTCCTACAAGTACGTATTGACGAGGGAGATCGTGATGCCTTACGTTTTCATTGGTTGCGTTCCATCGATTCAAACAAAGTTGAGACTTTGCGATTTACACGAGCGTTATTTGGTCTTGGACCTTCCCCGTTTCTACTTGGAGGAGTGCTCAAACAGCACTTGGTTGGTTGGAGTGATAAACGTCCGGAGAGCGTGGCAGAGATATCTCGAAGTTTGTACGTAGACGACCTGATCTCTGGTGCTGGCAACGTCCCAAAGGCTCAAGGTTTGAAAGACAACGCCACAGAAATATTCGCTGATGCTGGTTTCGATCTTCACAAGTGGCATTCTAACGCGCCAGAGTTGGAAAGTCAATGCATCAAATCAGAAAACAACGATGAAATTACGTACGCTAAAGAACAGTTGGGTTCTTCTGCTGATGAGTGCAAGCTTCTAGGATTGGCCTGGAATAAAAGGGAAGATACGCTCAGTGTGACTTTTCCTGAAGAAAAAAGTAAGCCAACGAAAAGAGAGGTCCTAGGGAAATTGGCTCGCGTCTACGATCCTCTTGGGCTGGTGTCGCCAATGACGCTTCAAGGAAAGATGATCTTTCGCGAAGCTTGTGAGAGTAAAGTTCCCTGGGACACTACCTTGCCTGACAAGCTGGCTAAGCTTTGGGATAAATGGGAATCCAACTTACCTGCGAGTGTGTCAACCAGGCAAAGTTTGGCTACATATCGAGAGCCTGTTGACGCTGTAGTACTCCATGCATTTGGAGATGCAAGTGGACGTGGTGTAGCGACGGCAGTGTACGCAGTGGTGAGTCAAGCATCTGGAGTTACCCAAGGATTGATAGCTGCCAAATCCCGACTAACCAAAAAGGGCCTTACTATTCCACGTCTCGAGTTGGTGGCTGGTCACATGGCTTCGAACATGGTTGATAACGTTCGCCGAGCTCTCGAAGGATTTCCAGTGACTGGGACCTACTGCTGGCTTGATAGTACCGTGGCCTTGCACTGGATTTGCGGTGGTGGGGAGTATCGCCAGTTTGTTGCAAACCGTGTTCAAAAGATCCAGGAGCACAAGATTGATGCATGGATGCACGTGCCTACTGCAGACAACCCCGCAGATCTTGGAAATCGTGGTGGTTCTGTCGAAGATTCAGAATTATGGTGGAACGGTCCGGAATGGCTGTCCAATCGTGATCTGTGGCCACCTAATCTTGTGACCAAGGAAAGTGCTGAATCAGCAACCGAAGCGAAAGCCATAAGAGAAGTGTTAGCAGTCACAACCGTTGCTGAACCTGATGAATTGGACAGCTTGCTAGCGAAGTACCATCTTAAAAGAACGTTACGAGTGTGCGTTTGGATATCCAGATTTGTGCGTCTGTGTAGAGGAGACGGTTGAGTTGCTGGAGATTTGAGAAATAAAGATATTCTTCGAAATGAACAGGAACACTGATTGGTAACTATGTACGATTATTAGAAAGTTCCATATTGCATGTGACTCCTAGCAGATTCACATGGGGGAGTGTGTCGGAAACTGACCTTATTACTATTTAGCACTAATTCAATTATAGTAAATTTTAGATTAATTAGGGATATTACATTACAAACGAATATAGACAATTATGATTGGGCAAAGTAATCACGTGATTAGGGCAGCATGACAATAACAAACAGATTTTGTGGGCTTGTGTATTGTGACTCGTGTGTTGTTATATATACTCGGTGAGAGACGGTGATTTACATATCGAAACGATTGTGACATAGTGACCTTTTTATTAAATATTTTTGTTTGTCGTTTATTGTATTTTAATTTGTGAACGTGTGGGACTTCTGAAAGGTTTGAACTCCCTTTCCCCACAAAACTCATATTTTTCAACACAACTCTGAAAATTCAAATGCTTAACACTTACTTCTTCAGCATTCAATGACCAAAGAGAATATGCTGAACTTGCATCCAAACCCTTTATCAAGCAGAGCGAAGTTAAATCTGCTGTGAACTCTAGCTGACAAAAAGCATGTGGTTTGATAGCGAATTGAAATGTCAGATTTATGATCGATAAAACACCACAAGACAAATTCTTGATGCTTTGATAAGTATCTTTAGTCATATTTAACACTTAAATGTTAAAAAATAACACAACTCTACTTTACCTTCGCAATAAAAACCCAAAACAGCAGTCACAGTCAAAACTTATTCTCCTGTCTTTGCAAATCGCAATATATGGAGAGCACATGGAAATTAAGACGCGGCACGAAACTGAGGCAAATACCAAAAACACGAAAACGAGGCAAATGGTAAACACGAAAGCGAGGCAAATGTTACATCCAAAAACTCTCCAAAAGGACACAGCATCCAGCCGTGACGCAACAATTGTTCTTTAATCGATCAACCGTGAATATATCCATGACTTTGAACTTTGTCTATGACTGCATGTAATCCAAACAGCAGTCTTTACACAAACCGGTCACAATTTAAACTCATCTTTGGCATGTGTGCAGACTTAAGATATATCAATAGACTATTTAAAATAAAAAATAAACTATACATGTACTTATGGGGCGAAAAAAAATGGCAGTAAATTTAAATAAACTCTGAAACGGTTTCGTTAATTCGGTTAATATAGACCTTTTTGTAGTGTAAATACCGGTGCATTTTGGCTTGTATTTTGTAGGCTTTGTATGAATTATCAAATAAGTGACAATTCAAGGAGAATTCAATTCAGTGACAATTCCATAAGTGACAATTTATATGAGCATATTGTTATTTTGAAACTGTATACTAATCATAAAAATGCTGTATGAGCCTGTAATATATTATATATGATTAATATGAATCAGTTGGAAAAATAGTTTTCGTCATGTGCAATATCTTTTAAGTGAGTAACTATGTCACTTCTGTTACCATCAGTTGCGGTGCACGTTGAAACATAATAAGCCAAAATTGTAGTCCCAAAAATTTCGGTTTAATAACCAGGCCTTAAAATATCTTTTCCAGAGCCGTCTGACAAAATGTCCGATGACGTTGAGTTTGGGTCGGACATATGTCCGATGACCTTCAGTTCAGTTTTGACTCGGAAATAAGTCTGAATGACACAAATGAATATCAGCACAATGTATTAATTCTGAACGGTAAATGTTGTGAAGTCATACTTATTTCTAAGCCAAAATTAACTCGCTTTCCAGAACAGCTGTATTAAAAAAGACTTTGATAACTTAAGCCTGTTTTCGACTGCGTTAAGACAACATTTCCAGTTCACCTTTTATACAATGGTACTCTGATTTTCCACTTAATATACAAGCCTCTAGTCCTGGGATAGGGTACATTTTGATTTACGTTGGACAAAGCTACAGTTCGGTCTGACACCAATACACTCAGGTCGGACAAACAATAGACCTCAGTTTCACTTAGGTCGGACAGAATGTCCGGTGGTTTCCTCTCTACGTCGGACAATTTTACGAATGGGTCGGACAATGTCCGTGACCGACCGATATTTTAAAGCCTGTTAATAACCATTTCTTAAAATTTCCTTGTACAGGTATGCTAAGTGTACCATATCTAAACTGTACACAAAAAATAAAACTTTTGGTTTTGGTTCAGAAACACGCCAGTTATATCCATTCGAAATATTTCACGATCAGGCGTTTCATCCCTTTCTATTATTTGTGTGTGTAAACAAACTCAATCGTTCTAGTATCAGCCCACGTTACTATGGTCAGTCCTTGTAATACAATGTTTGAATTACTTTAAGTAGTCGGCATGATATTATCGAGAGAAAAATTTTAAATCAACATAATTTTCATCGTGATGTAACCTGGATGAAACTATGCGATATATAGGATGATGACAAGGTATTTTACATAAACACAATCATACTTTTCTGCCCTCTGTGGCAAAATTTCAAGAGTTTAAACAAGAAACATTGAAAGACCCAGTTTTACAAGAAGTAATGAATCTTGTTACAGGCATTCTGGAATTCCACAAAAAAATGAAATTCTGCAGCCAAAATCAGAAATTCCTCTCAAAAATGTATGTTTCTAGGATGAATACTACCACTTGCAAGCCACTGTTAAGTGTAAACATATTCCACGTTTGTTTGTGTTTGAAATTGCAACGTTTTCCAATCAATCAAACCAAGTTTGACAGGGATTTGACCACTGATGATGCTTTTCACATGGTATAGTAATAATAATAATAATCTTTATTTCATCGATAAAATACATATCATATGTTACATAGTAAAAACATTATTACATCTATTTACAAATTGTTTTTGTTAAATCTTTCTAAAACCTAAATTGCCAACTCATGTTTAAAGATTAATGGATTCTTAAAACAGTTTTTATACCCAGTGGTGTTAACCTTTGGCTTAGGGATATGTTCAGTTCTGAGATTATGTAGATCGGTGATAGAGTAGCGGGACCTATTCCTGAAACTCAGACAAACATGAAATTCGTTTACACTTAATACCTTAATGGTGGCTTGTAAAATGGCAGTGTCAATTTCTAGTGATCCTACAGCTGCAAACAGTACTTGTATGGCATTTAAATTCAGATAGTAAGAAATTTAACAAATTAGAAAGCTTAGACTAGAGGAATAAAAGTTCTGTTTCACATTTTCATATAAAATCTGACATATTCCTAACACAACATAACATCAAAATATTTCTCATAATTTATTGTTTCTAATAACTAATAATAAATGTTTTTATCAAAACTTTTGATATTTTAATTTAAACCTCTGCTTATGCTATGTAATGTACTCCATAACTATTAGTACTGTTTTAATGTCAATATAGTTATTAATTAATTAACCTAAAACTGTTTTGTGATTATGACGAAAAGTGGCAGTGTCCCCTTCTGTCCATAATTGGGCATGCCAAAGTTTCAACAACATCTCCTTTGGAAATCCAGCTCTCGTCGACTTTTTCTCACCAGACAAAATAATATACACTTAATGTCTGCTCCTGAGGGAAATAGTTTTGTTTTCCCGAGAATCTCAATGTTTCCCGAGACGAAGTCGAGGGAAACATTAAGATTCGAGGGAAAACAAAACTATCTATTTCCCGAGGGAACAGGCATTAAGTGTTTTGTTATATAGCGACGAACAAAAATCAACTTCAACAACATTCATACAACAATTGAATTTCGTGACAAAAACTCTATAGTGTAAACAAGTTTAAAATTAAAAGAACCTACTTAAACGGTTTCAGCAGCATATCCTGTTGCCTGTTGTGTAGTTTTCTTCTCTTTTATATTCTTTATTTGAACACAAACTTGGAAAATCGTAGTTTCTAATTATCTGAGTTGTGCCTCCATTTTGTTTATTTATGTACGTGGCCGGTCGGGGCAGACAACAATTTTTCACTTGTTGCCCGGCGGGAAACATTGCATTTATCTGAAGTCACGTGACCACAAATCAGCCAATCATGTTTGGTGTTCACGCTAGCTATATAACAACATGTGTTACTACCGGAGGCCTTTATCTCTTTCATGAAACATACTTCGAGGTCTTCTACGTCTGCCTTTACTATAACCCCACAAAACATGTTTGGGTCTTGGGTTCTTGGTGCTGTTAACTTTACGCAGACATACATTCCACTTGTTAGGTGCGATGTTTCCTGTTCTCTCTTTGTTATTACGTATTCCGCAAGAAATTTCCTTTGTACTGGAAACTGTCTCATTAATTGTTCCTTTCCTGCTAATTTTCTTTTGCCTTTGGGTTGTGCTTTCATTTAGACTCTTTAATTTTCTCTTGTTCCGATTACGCTGTTTTTCCTTTTCCTTAGCAATACCAACATCATCTCTGCAAGCTGTACAAATATGAAGTATATCATTGGATGTTTCTTCGATAGAGCAACATGCTGGAAATGTGCAAACAATTCTTTTACATTTGCTGCATTTGTGTCCATATGACACTTCTCTCTGGCAAAGGAAACAACATTTTGAATCATGGACAGACTTCTGTTTTATTGCCTCTTTGATTGAAATGCGTCTTGGGGTTGCGATTTTGGATCTAGGAGGACTATTATGAATAGTAACTTTTCTTGGTTTCTGTTTTCTTGGCTGGTAAGTGATTGAGTGCTGCTGGTAAGTGCTGCTCTAATTGATGTCTGTTGAGGAGTTGTATTACTTGTACTTGGGGAAGAGTAAAGAACCTCAGGTTTCTCCTAACATCTTCCTTCTTGATCTTGTTTGGTAGCAATAATAGGTTGTGGGCCAGGTTTTGGTAACTTTGTGCTCAGGTGACACGAAGACTTCTTTGTAACTTCATGCACTGGTTTAGGTGTTGTACTTTCATCTGTGATGGAATTTTTCACTCTTAAATTCCAGTTAAGAAAATGTATTGCCTTGAGCGTTTGTTCATTTAAATTCCTTCTCTTTGAATCAAGAATAGAATTATATGAACTAAATGATCTTTCAACGTCATATGATCCCAATGTTCCAGTGCAATAGCAAGAGGCAAACTTGTAAAGTTCTGGAAGTTCAGCAGCATTATTGGACTTCCAAAATAACGTCAGGTCTACCTTACCATTTTCACTTTCTGACACAGCATCAGGTCCTAGAATATTGACATATTTCTGCCATTCCTCACTGGTGACAGTGTCTTTAAATCCAGGGATATTGCTGTATGAACTGTGACGTTTTGATGAGGAGACAATGTTACATGGGTCAAGAACTCTAACTTCCTTTAGAAACTCAGACGCTGGTTGTCCTCCATCAACAATGTACAGAAGAAGCTTTGCTTCTGCTTGTTTGAAAGCACTTTCAAACTGCCGCTCCAAAACATCTTGTTCGTCTATCTCTAAAGTCTAAGACTAAATCATGGAGTGAATCTGGAAGATCATTAAAATCCACATTTGTGTTTTCTTTTAAGTAGGCCAGTAGCTGATTCATTTTATTGTATGCCTGAGTAACAAGAGGAACTTTCATTTGAAAGTAGTCCAGATAGAAAAGTAAGATTGGTGCTTTGTTTTTGATGAAAGGCATTTGAATCTTTAGTTTTAACAGATGCATCTCATCTTTAAATATTTCACCTAACCTTTTATTTAAATAACAAAGAATTAGAAGGTTGTCCAGCAAGCTCGAGCTCTGATGAGATAGAATCTCCATAGTGCATGAAACGGTCTGCATGATACAAAACTGAATCCAACCAAGCGTACTCCAGCTTTTTGTTGTTGGGTTTGGGGGCATAGACACAGACTCATCTTCAGTGGTGATTTTGCACAAGAAGTTTAAAAATCTGCTTTTTCTGCCACTTGGTACGTAAAACAGGTTTCTGAACAACTTGACAAATGCCTTTACTTCAGGAAACATTTTCTTGAAGTCTGAAATAACGAGATTATAACAATGTGACTATGGCAAGTGATATGAACACAGTTTGGAAAAATCACAGAAAGTGTTGACGAAAATGCCTTCTTCATGTAGGCCACATTATCAGAATTAAATATGAGAACATCGTCAAAGGAAATATTATAGTCATTTACGACTTTGATGACTGTCTGAGAAACTGTAACATTGTTTGTACTTGTCAAAAAGTGTGTATACAGTAAATATGCACAAGTATTTCCATCAGGCAATAGCTCATCAAAGTCGAGAATAACTGCTAGAACATCCATCACATAATGTCCCTCATCATCACTCAGATCATCAGTCAATAAAGCAACCTTTTTCCCACCAAGTGTTTCTGCTTTAATTCTTCTTTCTCCACCAAGTACACAGTATTACAACTCCATATTTTAACTCCATTGTTTGTATTGTAACTGTCATAACTCCTTATTCCATAAGGAGTTATAGTTATTACCAAAATGCAACATCAATGGTCAAGGTAATATCGAAAATACTAAAACACACAGAGAAACAAACTAATTTGCTGATGAATGCCTTCGCTCAAGTCGTTGTACAGTAGTTTTTCTCTTTGACTATAGTTCGACAAAACAAATTTAAATTGCTGCAACATATAAAAGGACAGATTAAAAAAAAGTTTTTAATTTTGAAACATGTACATCAGGTGTATTAAAATAGTAAGGTATACTGCTGATATGCATGTACATTTTTTGAACAATTTAAATATACAATATTTCTTATTACTAGATACAACTGGTCCACAAGGAACTAATGCGACAGTGATTGCTGATACATTCTACAAGCCAACCAGAAAGAGATTCAAACTATCAGAAGAAGAGGAGGAAATACTACCTATGGATTAACAAGAAAATGTTTCTATGGCCAAAGCTTACGAAAGAGCGGTACAGTTCAAAAGTCTTTAAAAGCTATTATTACTTGGCACAAGAATCATGCCATATAGACTAATTTTTAAAGTATGTTGGCAATAGAAGTGTTCATACCATATTTACTTGTTTGAATGCCGTAAAGTTTTTGGTAACTTTTCAATCAATGAGGGAAGGACAATGCTAGAGTACGATGTTTCATCAACACCCAACGCCTTTAATCTTCTGTGATGAGTCTCTGTTTGATCATATAATTTTCTCAACCGACCTGTTTCGTTCTCACTGAATACAGGTTCAAATTAATCAGTTCTTTGATATGGGTTCATTGAATAGCAGAGTCTTTCCCATATGCCTTTTGAGCAAATCAACAGCCTCCTTGTAGTTTACCCCAGTTAAGGCAAATCCGGGAATCGCAGTGGAAGCTTGACCCTCCAATAAGCCACACAAATATGAGAATTTATCAATTTTAGACAGTTTGTCATTTTGTGTATTGCACACTCATAACTGTCCCAAAATTCACGCCATTTCGCCAAATTTCCATCAAATTTCTTAATCTCTAATTTAGGCAATTTTACACGACTTACTTGTACATTTACACTTACTGTTGCTGTCGTCTCGATCTGTGGCACTTGTTGTTGAATTTGTTCACTGGCTTCCGCCATGTTTGCTTCCTGTGTCACAGGGCTCTGTTATGTCACTTGCTTGTGTCACAGATTCTGTATTTTTGACTTGACTTGTCGACGACATTGAGCTAGTTGTTGGTACTGTTTCTGTCAGTTTTACTGTCGTATTTAATGCTGTCTCGATTGCCAATGTAGCGTCTAACATTTTAGCGTTGAATCTCCCAGCATCATCGGTTTCTGCCGAGATTTCCTCATCAGATACGTCTTTGTTCCCACAAAGTAAATCGAGTATATGTTCGTCAATTTGCCCCAAAGTATCTTTCCTTTCATTAATGTTATTTTCAATTGTTGAAGCTCTCTAATAACCTGTTTGTTGCCAGTTTCCATAAATACACCACCGATTTTCTCCCTGAGACCTGCCATTAATTTGTTTACATACGATCTGTGTCCTCCTCTTGCGCGTTTCTTCTTCGGCAGGTCGTCCATGTTTACATGAATTCCTTCGTTTAGCAACATGTTTACAATCCAAAATTCTTACAAATCCGGTTCGAATAGAACCACTATGTTGCAAAAGTTCGATAAAACACACAAAAGTTGTATTTTCTATTGATTCAGTTGCTTACAATCAGTACAATAAATCCGATATTTTTACATTTTATATGAACACTTCAACATATAAAACTTCCAAGCGAACACTCTACTTTCCGACTCCTTACATTCTCCCTTGTGCTCTCGTATTATGTCATAGTTAAATTATATTGTTCTTACATAAAGTATGTCCCAACGAAACACAACAATCTATTATAGTCCAGGCAGGGAGTGAGGTAGGTATCACCTGAGCAGGTAATTTACGCGACTTGGATCTTCTAGACCTATTTTTGACGTAGAATTCGAATCCGGATGTTATTCAGGCTGACGAGGCTGCTTTTAAGAGTTACAGCCCAATTTAGCCTCATTTTTGCGTAAAAACGTTCACCTTCAAATTACCTTTTAATATTTCTAGGAAGACAAGAAAAACAGTTCTACCAGCCCATTTTTCAATACAGAATCCAACTCAAAATATGCTTCCGACAAAAAACATATCTGGGACTGTTGGCCATATTGGGAATATAGTCTCGCTTTAAATCATATAAATATCCATGTAAATTAAAATATATCGCGTACTTAGAAACGGAAATAACTTTTTTGTATTTGGAACGAGCATCTAATCCGAGTTTAACAATAGAAATTTCTATAAATGCACAGGGTGTCCTATATTAATTGTCTTTTACATAATTTTCAATCCTTTATATTTCAGTAACATGAAGTATACACTTTTTCGCGAGCAACATGGCGGCTATGTTTATAGAGATGGCATAACAATGAGTAAACTAAAATGTGTTATAAACTACAAACATCTTGGTGATAATAATATCCAAAAAAACAGTATCCAAAGAATATCACAACGATTTCTGCATGTGAATCGATAAAACGTGCTGCTCTGCTTCAAGATGATACAGAACTCATTTTGCTTGTCGCCAACGAAGACCTTATTGCAAGAGAATTCAAAATGCATGAAAAATGTTATAGAGATTATACATGTATTCATATTGAAAATGGTTCATCCTGTGAAAGAGAACTGCAACAGACCACGAGGAGGCTGTTACTAAAATTTCGTATTTGATTCAGCATGCTGCAAGGAACAGTGATGACCGACCAACAACATGTGTGGTACGATCAAGTTCTGGTGATATCGACATTCCCATCATTTTACTTGGAATTCAACCAATCAGGAATTTGGAAATCTACATCAACAATGGATCTGGCAAGACGAGAAAGTCGCTTCACTTTAATTCATGTAGTCTTACAAGTTTGGAAAAGACAGCATTGGTTGGGAATGATTATGTATCAAGTTTCTTATGCAGAGGGAAGCCCTTGTGTTGGAAACAAGCAAGCGCAAATCCAATATTTTTAGACATTTTCAGCCAGTTGGGGACAGAGACTCATGTGTCTGAGGAATTGTTTGGCGTCATTGAGAAGTACGTGTGTTTTCTTTATGAACAAAAGAAAATTGAGAAAGTGAACTAGTCAAGGTGAAAAATGGAGAAAAATGTGTCAAGAGCATAAAGTTGTTGACATTTCTCTGTTACCGCCATGTAGCGATAGTAGAGAGTTTAAGATCTACGACACGGCCGGCTTAACAACACGGTCTGAATTTCAGCTAAAAAATGAACGCTAAGCAATTTTATTACTGTAATAAATATTTGACGATTTTCAAATAACATTACAAACTGCTAAGTTTGACTAAAGCGATGCAATGTTTGCTGTAATTTTGACTTTAAGTATCACCTTTTGGGTTGCAATAAGCTTCGCGTTGCTTGAAAGACGTGATAATGCTTAGTTTAACATTCTGCTGAGCATGACAAAGCCGTTGACAATACCCCTTGGACCACAAATTATTCACAGCTTTTATCTCGCATGACAGAGTTCTTTTTTTTGCAAGCGCGTCGTGGAGTCGGCTGCATCGTAGATCTTAAACTCTCTAGTAGTCTATGAAAGCACGCTGCAAGGGCAAATTATGTGGCTAGAATTTGGAGAAGGGCATGTTACCCAGTCATGGCAATGGCAGACCCACACTTCCATGGTTGGCTCCCCAGTTTAGCAACCGATTGGATAGAGGAAGCTTATCCTGAGGACGTTAGTGAGCTGCTTGTTGAGCGTGACGCGGAGAGTGAAGGAGAGTGTGAAGAAGAAGACAATGCTTACTGCTCCAGTTCGGATGATGAATAATAAAGACACTGTTACCTTCGATACATAGGTAAACAACTCAAAATTTGTTTGTTTTGAGAAACTCATTTTATACTTGATATTGCATGTAACAATGCTAAACAAGACCATATATATGGCATAGATCATATACAGCATGCGGTGGTTTTATTACTGTGTCATATTTACGGTTTATTTTAAATATATTTGCAAATATTTACATAATTACATTGCATGCAAAGATTTTGCTATAACTCTCAGATTTGTTAGGCTATTCCAAATACTGAGTGATATAAAAGAAAGGCTACAATATATTCCCAATATGGCCAACAACAGTCCCAGATATATGTTTTTTGTCGGAAATGTATTTTTAGTTGGATTCTGTATTGAAAAATGGGCTGGTAGAACGGTTTTTCTTGTCTTCCTAGAAATATGAAAAGGTAATTTGAAGGTGAACGTTTTTATGCGAAAATGAGGCTAAATTGGGCTGTAACTCTTAAAAGCAGCCTTGTCAGCTTGAATAACATCCGGATTCGAATTCTACGTCAAAACTATTTCTAGAAAATCCAAGTTGCATAAATTACCCGCTCAGGTGATACCTACCTCACTCCCCGCCTGGACTATTACATTTTAATAGAAATTACATGACACACATGCGTCAAGCCAACCAAGCCATTCAAAGGGAGAAACACCCTGTACCCACTGTGGAAGAAACCCACCAGGAGGTGTCAACTGCCAAAGTATTCACAAAACTTGACCTTAACATGGCTTTTCACCAAATTGAATTGAGTCCAGAATCCGGTGATATTACTACCTTTGCAGCACCCAATGGCCTTTACCGATATACCTGACTTCAACATAGCTACTGAAAAGCTCTAAAGTCCTTAAAGCCTGTCCTGGGACCCACAACCTTCATAATGACATACTTGTTGTTGGAAAAGACCAAAGGGAACATGATCGTGATTTAGAAAAAGCCTTGCAAAAGCTTGAAGAGTGCAGACTGACTCTAAATTATGACAAGTGCATAGTATTGTTGACAGCATGGTCTATATGGGTGACATTCTCTCAAGTGATGGATTGCAGTTGTCGAAGGAACAGGTGAAAGCCATAGCGGAAGCACCAGCCCCTAAGAACCAATCGGAGGTGAATAGGTTCTTGGGCTCTGTACAATTTTGCGCCAAGTTCATACCACAGTTTGCCACTGTATCCATACCACAGTTTGCCACTTGTATGGAACTGAGTTTGAGATATGAACAGATCACAAACCTTTAATCACAGTCCTAGGGCCCAATTCCAAGTCTCCATCTGCTGGAATTGAACAGTGGCTCTTGTATCTGTAGCAATGTAGCTATAAAGTGACACACATAAAAGGAAAAGACAAATCTGCTGATGCCTTAAGCTGCCTGCCTGTTGGTCCTGCCCAACTCCACTGATGCTGCAGCAACTAAAGTTTATGCATGCAGTCTAGCCCAAGCTATACCATCTTCCTTAACCCCCAAAGAAGTTGAAGTTGCCTCTGAAAGAGACCCTACCCTAAAGCTAGTCCGAGAAGCAGTAACCAGTGGAGATTGGAGCAGTCTATCTGGTACAATATACAAAGCTTTGTCTGATGAAATCTGGGTTTATTGGACAAATTGCCATGCATGGAAACCATATTATCCTGCCTGTAGGGTAATGTTTAACTGGAGAAAACCAGATTTTCTTGAAATTTCTTTCCTCTATGTGTTGCTAGGCCTTTGTAAACTTTTGAAGCTTTATCTAACTTGTGAATTCCGGCAGATAGCGAGTTAAACGGTGGATATCGACTTAAACACCTTTCATACAACCGGCCCCTAGGCATTTGTGCTGGACCTCTAGTTAGAATTTTAAATAGCTATATAGCAAGAATATTTCGAAGTGAATACTGTATATTTCACAAAAAAACTGTTTTAAAAACAAATTTGCGTTTTTCCCTGTTTTATTTAATATCAGTAAGACAGTAATATATACAGTCATATGCATTTCAAAATATTTTACTAGTTTTTGTTAAAAACTAACATGTACTTTAAACTGGGGAGATGTTTTTAATAGGCTTTTTATTATAGAATACATTTTAAAACTTTCAGTTTAATATGGGATTGTTTATATATAAATGCAAAATTCTATGCTGGGGTTAATACTAGCACTTTCACAAATTGCAGCCTTTTTGGGAAATACACGTACACTATTAAACGCTATAAATAAATTCACCGATATAAACTTTGCCGAGCAAGGTTAAAAAATCAGAATGAAGCATGTTCATATGTTGCCATCTTATTGACCTGGAATGCCTTCTATTCAAAAACTGAACTACAAAGTTAAATATAAACATTGTAAATGGATTAAGTTATGATATACGAGTCATATTAAACAACTTTGAACTTCCACACAACATGTAACATGGCATATTCATGAAAATTGAATCACATAATTTTTTTGAAAAATATGACAAATGAGATAACCTCTAGCATCCTGCATAGAGACAACAAAATTTTCATCAGACCATGGACATGCTTGTGCAAATTTTTCAGTTTTCTTGCAGTTTTGAAAACAAAATTTATTTTATTATTTATTTTTTTATTAACTTCACAATCATATTATATAAAAAAATACACATACAGCTATGATTGAAGGATTGGAAAAAAGAACTAGAATCCCATACTAAGTCAATCCAACACTAAAACACAACATATTTCGGACTATAAACTGGACAACAACGCAAATACTGATTTTACAGGCCTTTACACTATATAAAACACACAAGAATAAATACATAACTACACTACTGTGAAATTATTGTTAGGTTCAGTTTTGACCCCCACCACCACCAGCACCACTAGTTAGAAACCACTAACCACTTACATGCAAACCAGGTCAGCGCAAGGTAGTGATAGTGGTAATGGAATTCAAAAGTGACTCCAGCCATTTTACACCAGACTTTAATCCTTCACAACACGTATTTTACAACATAAACATGCAAGAATAACACTACACTATGAAAATTATTTGCGAGATTCAGATTTGACTGCCACCACCATCATCACTAGTTGGAACCACTAACCACTTACATGCAAACCAGGTCAGCGTGAGGGTGGTGCTGATGACGCTAGAAGTCAAACCCGAAAACCTTGCTATTTAACACCAGACCAGCTATGAACAGCAGGTGATATTGCTCAAGCGACATTTCATGCAAATAATTTTCCATGTCCTTGGACGCTCAAGAATAACACTACATTATGAAAAGGAAGAGTACGGGGAATGGTAGTCTTGTGTGATGAACTTTTGAACTTTGAATGCCTTCTATTAGAACGAGGTCTCGCGATGATCCTTGGGGTGACCAAATCTCGCTGCCTTATTAAAGACAGGTGAGATCTTACTAATGTCAGATATAGCAGGCAATGGATATTGGTGAGCTGTGTACAATGGCATCTTAAGAACCCGAGCATTCGATTGGCTTTAGCAACCACTTGGGCAATCTGATTTGACCATTTTAAGTCATCCCTGATGAATATAATACAATACAACGGTAACTCCGAATAAAGTAAGCATTTTGATTCAACGTTTCCACTTTATTTAGTCATGATGATGACTAAATAAATTCGACTTTATTTACTGATGATGACTAAATAAAGTCGAAACGTTGAATCAAAATGCTTACTTTATTCAGAGTTACTGTTGTATTGTATTTTATGAAAATACTCAGTGGTTCCCGCAATTACCTGATGAATATCCCGAGGTCTTTTAGATATTCACACTCTTTATTTCTTCATAATTGGTGGTAATTGGCTGGCATAACATTCTTCTTCCTTGTAAACCGCATCATGCTGCATTTCTGCACGTTAAAACTAAGTTCCCATTTGACAGACCATTCTTGAAGTGAGTTAATATCTCATTGGAGTAATTGTTCATCATCAGGCAAGGTAATTTGTCTGTAGCGCTGACTGTTGTTGGCAAACATCGGTGTCTTGCTGTGAGTGGTTTCGTTTACATAGATGATAAACAACAGTGGGCCAACTACACTACATTGCGGGATGCCTGATGTTACTTCGAGAAAGGATGGTGACACACCATTGAACACAACATGCTGTTTCTTTGAGGTAAGGTAGTCACAAAACCATTTGAGCAAAGGACCAGATATACCGTGATCTCTAAGTTTCTGAATAAGATTTGGATGGGAGACTGAATCGAAAGCTTTCGAGAAGTCTATAAGTAAACGACATTGGTTGTCTTTCTGGAATCCCGGTTCTTATCAATATCTTGAAGCACTTCCAGTAATTGGGTTATACAGGATCTGTTTGGACGGAAACCGTGTTGAAGATTGTGGAGCGATGGTTTGATTAATTTATAAACTTGCCTGTGGACTATATGCTCGAGAACTTTAGAGATTATACAGAGAAGTGAAATGGGACAATAGTTATTGATTTCACTTGGATCATCTTTCTTTGGTACTGGAACAACGTTTGCTTGTTTCCACTCGCTAGGAACTTTACCATGGGCAAGCAACATTGTGAAAAGTTCAGTTAAAGATGGCGCCAGTTCTGTCGCACATTCTCTCAACAATGTTGCTGATATTCCATCAGGACCAGTTGCTTTGGTGGTACAAAGACCAGACAACAAACAGCAAACCTCTTCAACAGTAATTGTTATAGACTCCAGACCAACTGCATCCGTGCTGTTCACAGGTGGTAAATCTGTCGATATGGGGTTCAGAAAATCAGTTTCAAATGTGTTGGGACAAATGCAACAAAACCCTTTAATTTTAACAAATGGTCGCCCTCCGTCCCCTTTTCAATGTTGTGTGCCATTGTTCACCAAGTTTGATGAGTATTGGTATTCGAATTGAGAAATCAACATTGATTGGGGAGGGGGAGGGGAGGGGTGCAATATTATGTGTAACAATCTGTATAGATTAATTTATGTCTAAAACTGCATGTGTCCCAACAACTTTTGAAAGTGATTGTACCTAAAATACTAAACAATCCATTTTTGCGGCAGGCTGTACTTCCTTGCCTGGAAAAAATTAAAAACCACCTGCTGTGCACGCTATTTTCATGGTGGTTGTTGAAGGTGATTTTCACCAACTGTTTGCTCAAAAGGCTTGATTGATTCAGATTCAGTTCAACCTTCCTGGGACAAAAACAAGTTTTTGTTGGGACAAAAACAAGTTTTTGTTTTAGCATCAAAACTGGAATATGCAGCGACACACAAACAACCAGTTGCATTGACAAAATCTCTCACACCATCATCACAGTAAGAAACTTGCTGGCCATAAAAACAAATCTTAACATCAGTTGGCAAGCCACATTTTCCTCCTCGCCATGCTTCCTGATGTAAATCTAACATGCTCTGTGGCAGACCAAACATTACGATATAGCTGATATTGGAAGAATTTATGCCCATACTGAGTAATGTGGTGGCAATTGCAATCCTTTTTGTCCCCTCTCCTTTTAAAGATTGTTAACAGTCTCTTTTTATACTCTTTCTGTATGGCAGAATGAATTATTCTTATGAGGCAATTCTCTCTGTTTGTTGATGATAATGGGTGGAATGCACTACATCCAAGTTACGTCATCATCTAATTTGCAACATTAGCAATAATGTTGCAAATTGTGATAAATAAATAATAAATAGCTTTTTTATGTATGCCACCACAAAACAAGAAATTGAGATGGAAATTAGCAAACTCAAGTCGTCTAAAGCAAAAGGTCCTTTTAGTATTCCAATTGATTTGCTAAAAATAGCCAGGTCAAGTTTGTCGACTCCTCTTCAAACAATATACAATATTTCTTTCTCAACTGGTCTTGTTCCTGATCAATTTAAAATAGCTAATATAATTCCGATCTATAAAAGAGGACCCGAGACTATGCTTAATAACTATCCAATATCCTTACTTTCCATATTTAATAAAATTTTAGAAAAACTAGTTTATAGAAGATTGTTAAGTTTTATTGATTCAAACAAATTGCTATACAATAAGCAATTTGGGTTTTGTTCTAAGCGTTCAACAGTACAATTAGCTCTTTCTATAACTGATAGTATTCAACAGGCAATCGAAAAAAGATGGTATGCCTGCGGAATATTTTTGGATTTTTCTAAAGCATTTGATACCGTAAATCATGCAATCCTTCTTGAAAAATTATATCGCTATGGAATAAGAGGCATACCATATGACTGGTTTTCCTCTTACTTAAGTAACAGACGTCAATTTGTTTCAATAGGCAATATTCAATCTGATGAATCTGAAATTACATGCGGGGTTCCTCAAGATCTGTTCTTGGTCCACTGCTTTTTTTATTGTATATTAATGATTCTCATCATTGTAGCAAGACTTTTGAATTTAATATATTTGCAGATGATACTAATCTTTTCTATGCTAATGCAAGCCTTGTTAACCTGGAATCAATAATAAATGAAAATCTGGAAAAAGTCATTGATTGGCTGGCAGCTAATAAATTATCCCTAAATATTGATAAAACAAATTTTGTGCTTTTTCATCCAACCCAGAGGATACCCAACTATCAGATTTCATTATTGATCAGAAATAATCGAATTAAACAAGAAAAGTATATTAAGTATTTAGGAATTCTACTCGATTCAAACTTAACTCATTCTCATCCGGTCGAAAAGTAGCAATTTCGAGTGGTGTTGTTTCAAATGCTTATATCTCTCAAATTATACATTGCACGGAAACAGAAATTGCATCGTTCGAAAGAGGAGGACTTCTGCTTTCCAATGATACCAATTTCAATTCCATCCGGAGCTTGGTTAACGATTTACTCGCATAAATTTGCATAAATTATGATATAAAAAAATGTTGCAATTATGCATAAATGTATTTAGCGGTTCAAATTTCAAATATGTCAAAAAATTTTATGAATATGACTGAAAGACACGGTTATGATCTACAAGTACCCGAAGTTTCATGCATGTAGCATAAATAGAAATATTTTTATTGAATTTTTATATAAACTAGGTAGTGGAGTAAAATTTACATTTTGTGCTCACATGAAACAAATACCTTTATCAAAGGTCCTTTTTTATTGCTGCAACATGTTATCAATACAAATTTCCAATATTTCTTACTCTCCAAAGATAGTATGGCACCAAAATAAGTCTGTGATACCCACAAAAGAACACTCAAATCATGATTAGCAAAATGTCTTTATTTCTACAATTACTACATACATTCTTAGATAATTATTACACCATTGACTTTAGTTATTAGTGGCATAACCAGCCTCAAAATTTGGTCATGCTATTCAAATTTGAAATAATCACTACTCATTTGTTTAGAAATTGATTGTTTTCACAATCTAGAACATGAAAATATTTGCAAATAACATGACCAAGTGTTGTTGGGCTGGCATCATCATAATTAGTAGTTATAAAAAAGTAATGTTTTCCAAGGCAGTAATGTTTGCTAAAGCAGTAATGTTTGCCAAAGCACATAATTGGATTATGTGGTGAAAATATTTCCTTTATATTGTACTACAAAAGACCTAAGACTGTAACCAAACTGATATCAGATCACCACGTCATACCCAAATCTGTTGCGATGAATATCTGGACTTCTTCCTGTATAAATTTCAAAGTCGCAATATAACCATTAGGATTGTCTGCAGCAACCCACAGATTTATTCCCCACATAGTAGGTCATCTAGCTTTCATGAACTGCCTAACCCCCAACCTATTTCTTGATTTGACAGTGTGTTTGTCTGCAAGAACAATATTCTGTGACGGCTGGTACAGTTGTTGATGCAGTTTATTGCTGTAGTCTTTAGTACAGGATCTACCATATTCACAAACGCCATAAGCGCTTTGTACCTAACCCGAGAAATTATGTCTATTGCCCACAGACCATGATATAAGGTTTTTACACTCCAATAATTTTCAATCTCACTGTCGACCTTTAGCAAACCTGCATATTATACTAAAAGGCAATCAACCTCTCAAGGTTGGTGGACTGCAAGACCCTTTTTTATTAGTATATGGGGATAACGTTTGAGTTATTTGTTTGTGGGCATATGTATTGGTATGGCCAGGAAACTACCTCCTGAAGCATTCCCTTAGTAAAAAAGAGTCGAATGAACTCAAGCTCACAGTTGATCGAAATGGATCCCGGACATGTCAGTGAGGAGCAAGATCTGGGAGAACATTCCTGGCGTCAGGATCATCATATCCGTCATGTACTATGGGGCCTAGTGGGGATGCTAGACAGGGAGCTTTCGAAACCTTAGGTCCTAATGGCTGGGCTTCCCTCTACCTCTACTCATCCCCCTACCTTCCCTCTGGGTTGGTGAGTGGGGTTCTCATGACTCATCAGAACTCTACTTCCCTGAGGCTATGAAACAGGAACGGCAGATAGGAACAGGATCAATATATTCATCAGTGCGAATAAAAACTTTTATAGACATGGTGCCACTTAGAATTATAATAAGAGCCAACTAGTAAGATATAAGTATGAATACTTGGCTATTATGTATGTAACAAACAACCAAACATGTGCTCAAGGCTCATTTTACTTCGCCTCGGAATCAGAGATTTTTATGCCTAAAACACCATAAATCTTCGTCAACAATATAAATAAATACCATTTATATTTGTCAATTTCAGTATGAAACGATTATTTCAACACAAAAAAGCGATATGATGACATACTTTGTCGTACTAGTGAAGCTATACTAAATACAAATAAATTTACAACGCCATGGCAACGGCAAAACATTGAAATAGAAATTGTCTAGAAATGATACAAATACTTGCCTTGAAACTCCAGACACGACCCCCAATGCCAGGTTGAGATACTTGTCTTCATACGAAGACATTCCATCATTACTAGCACTATCAGTTTGCAAAATAAAGCCAAAAACGTCTTCAGAATACGATTCAAACAAAACTACAACACAATACATTTCAACGCTCGTGCGTTCCCGTGAGCGATAATCAGGAAAATTGCTCTAAAAGATTTGTTTTTCTGCCTAAGCCAATCAAAATCCGTATCTAGGGTAAACAAACACTCCGGAAGTGATTCCTGCAGTCTTTTACCAGGAAACTGTAATGCTTACCAAGAATTTTGCGTCCGAAGTTGGCCGAACACTTTCCGATCACAAGAATTGCCATAATAGGCTTAGATTATTATGCAATTTCCCGAGACTGCTCCGAGCTATAGAATGGAAGATGGCGATTCTTTTGGTATATTTGTTATCATTATACGTTGAAAAGAAGGAAAAAGACGAGCATTTGAATCAGGCGGAACATTCAAAATGCAACAGCAAAATTGATAATGTGTCATTTGCATAAATTTCACCGCATTGATCATTTCAAGGTAAGAAATTCGCTTGAAATTGAGCGAGAAACGATAAAATTATATGAATATTTCTGAATATATAGTATCGATCAAGCGGAATTTTTTGGTGGTATTTTCGTATGTCTACTGCAAATACTCGAAGTTCTTTAATATTTAATCTTCCCGTCATTTACGTTGGAAATTAATATTGGCGGATCGAATTGAGTTAAGCTGGAAATATCATATTTCACATTTGGCAAAAAAAATTAAATGCTGCATTGGTATTATTTCAAAAATGTGCTACTTCGTTGGCACAGAAATACTCCAACAATTATACTATACATTGATTTATCCATATCTAACATATGCTTTAACGGTATGGGGTAATACATATGCATCCAACCTAAACGTTTTAACTTTATTACAAAAAAAGGTAGTAAGAATGATAAAATTCTCTAGCTTCAAAAGTCATACCTCTCCACTTTTTAAGCACCTTAACATACTTAAGTTTCCTGACTTAATATATTATCAAAATGCTCTGTTTATGTTTGATTTTCACACCGGCAATTTAATACCAACTATATTTGATAATTTCTTTAAAAATGTTACTGAGGTGCACAATTACAATACGAGGTCTTGTGCTAAACAGCTACTATACCTTCCAAAAGTTCGAACAAATTATGGCAAGTTCAACATATGTTATCGTGGCAGCGTAGTCTGGAATTCTATTGATATGGAAATAAAATCCTTAAAAAGATATAAATTTAAGGCTTCATTAAAAAAATCACTCCATCAATCGTACCTTTGACGAATCTGGTTTTGTAGACATCTTTGATGATACAATATTTATACTTCCATGTAAATAACTTAATATTTATGTGTGTGTCGTGTGTTTTTTGTCTTCTATGATAACGTTTTGATGTATTAGTGAGCTAAGTCTTTTTCTATTGTATTTCTTATCTGCCGTCTTGTTTTGTCTCCAAGTAGAGTCACATGTGCTACCTAAATTTATTAGCTTTTATATAGTTATTATAGGTAGCCTTTACTCTAATTTCTGTATTTGTAATTGTTGTTGTGTTTTTCAAGTCACACTATGTAATGAAAGAGTATAAAA